AAATCTGAGGTTTAGGCGTAGGAATGTGCAAATCTAAAGCCAGAACATGATGTGAGGATTCTGAAATTATCTTGAGGCCTTTTTGAGTTCCAAAGATACATTCTTTGGGGCTAGAGAGATGGCTATTCAGTTAAGGATGCACAGTGTTCCTGCAGGGGACCTGAGTTCAGTCCTCAGCACCCAATAACCACTTGTAACTCCAGCTTTGGGGAATACAATGCCCTCTTCTGGCCTCCAAAGGCCATACACTCATGTGCACAAACTCTTACATAGATACAAACATACAAACATAGCAACTAAAACTAAAAATAATGTTTTTAAAAAGATACAATCATAGCTTTTCTGAATTTGATTACAGAATCTCTACTACAGTGAACTACCTTGGTCTGCATATGGGTGTTTCAACATATAGATTCACTCATGCACCCATTTAGTGGAAAAGCCCTGTTTAATTATTATTCATAGTGTGCTAGGCATGGAGGGTAAAACATACTGAAAAGCACAAGGTTCGTGGGGCTTACACTCTGTGTTCACTATTCTATCTACCTGCCATTCCGGTACCCACAACAGCGAACACCAAGTTCATAAGCTTTTGCTATGAACATACTTCTAATTCAAGATATCCTGCCATGGTGGTAGCTTCTGAGGTATACTCAGTTTATAAGTAGCTGATGGAAAGGAGACATTGTCCCCCAAAAGTTACTTTCTTTGCCTATAGCCGAAGTACTCAAACAAGACAAAGAAGTTCAACTGCAGAGTACTTAAGGGCTTCACCAACATGATGTGACTTGTGTTCAGGACATGATGTGAAATTGAACTGGCAAATTCAAGAACAGCAAACAGTTCTGATAAAAGCAGCTGCATCCATTATGTCCAGCTACTTCTCTCTCTCTCTCTCTCTATATATATCCACTTCCACACAAGTACTTCCATCAGATGTAGCAGCAACAGACTTGAGAAAATGAGGGCTCTGTGTCTGTCTGCATGCATGGGGGCGGAGTCAAAGGGAGCAGCTTTCTGGAGGTGTGGCATTTGCCTGCAAGCAAACCCAAGCCCTGAAATGGTGAACCTAATCATAGAAGCATTTGAAATGAGCAGAAATTAAATCTTGAGGAGAAATGAACACAAAGCCACTACTGCTGCTTTTGCAGATGTTTTTGCAAGTGAATTTATAGTCTGCATAAATATAATATATTCATTTATATTCTTTTCCTCTCCTTTGTTTTTACCTTGTCCTTCTGGAGTTTCACCGAAAGGATTCACTTCCACCTGAGTAGCATCAATTTTCAGGAAGAGATTATACAGCTTCTTAATTTGATCTGCAGCCTAAATGTGATCAAGTGAAATGGAATTACACCACAGTAGTAAAAGAAAATTTATTTTGCTCGATTAATGAAATCTTAAAAATAGCAAATTATGTCTTTATTTTCAGTTAGGATTTCTGAAGGGAAAATTTGAAAAGCATAATTATTTTAATTTCCACTGCTATTCATTAGAAGGAATTGCTCAGCTTTCCTCCAGACACCAAAAGAGAGCATTATCAAGAAAACAAAATATTTTCTGTGCAGCTTAAAAATGTTATTAATCTTTCTGTGAATTATCATGTCCCCATTAGTCATGTTAGACTGCAGTATACGCTACAATCACTAATACAAACAAGCTCCACTTAAGTAAAAGGTAAACACACTTTTGAGAGTTTATAATGACAAGGCTTTCCTTATTATGCTGGAATAAAACACTTATTATATTCATCAATCCAAGCTCATAATCTGCAAAACAATTCCCAAGTGTTTAATGGAAATTGCTGTGAGTCAGGAAGATGGAGCTTTCTATCAGTGCAGCTGGAGAACAGCACAGCTCTGAGCAAACACAGCTGATCCCATGAACCACAAAGAACAAGAGTGCACACTGTCCCCTAAAGTTAGGCCCCTGCTTTCCTCTTTGTTGATATGCTTAATATTCACCTGTTCATTCTTCTCAGTCCACCTGTATTCACTGCTCTTGCCAGACAGAGCAGGCTGTTCAGATAGTGTGGTGGGGCTTAGAATGGCATATGCATGAGTCAGGGTACCCCCTGGAAAGCTCACACTTGCAGCTACTAGGGCAAGGCTGTGTAATCAAGGTTCATTCTGGGCACCACTTGCATTCTTGCTCTGTTTTGCTTCCCCACTGTGGTTCCCCATCTCTACCTGATGCCCACTGTGCCAATCCTGCAATGTGCACCATTAGTATTAAAGTCATGGTGACCCTGTCCCTTTTCCGTATACCAGAAGATCTGCTACCTTCAGACTGAATTTCAGGTTGCTGGGCCAGCTGGCTTCTAGCTTTGTCCTGCCAAGGGGTAGAAGTGAGAGGAGAAAGACGGTAGGAGAAAAGAAAAAGTTTCTACCCTTTAGTCTTCAACTTCCCAGTTCTTACAATTCCTATGGTAACAAATTCCTACTAGGGTCAATACTGAAAGTGGGCCCCAGTGTGACTAAAGGAGTTCTAGAGATTTTCCTCATGTTCATCTTAATAATTTTATGTCTATTTGTAGATATCTTCAAACCCTTCTTGAAACCTGATGTACATAAAGAAATGAATGCATCTAATGAGTAAGGCCAAAACCTTTGAGGCAGGGTCTCACAATGTATCCCAGACTGACCCTTAACTTGTTAAGTAGCCCAGACTGGTCTCAAACTCATGGTTTTGCTGCTTTACTCTCCCAATGGTGGGATTACCAGCACTCACCATCATACCAGACCAAGACTAAATGTTTATAGTATGAAACAGTTTATGGCTAGGCAACACATATAAATGGTACAAGACTCCTGCAGTATATCTGTGTTTCTCATGATTGTATCTCCAACTACAGCTCCACACTTCCTCTGCAGTGGACACCAACAGCTGCTGCTTCATCTGAGACACACTGTGCACATGATAAGATGTATAACCTCCATCTTTAGAAACAACAAATGACTCTCCACTTTGTATACTTAGTAAAGACCTTCATGGGCAAGATAAATAGGTCATTTTTTAAATTGTCTGCATCATATTTTATCATGTGAATATATCATAAGTCATTTTAAACCATCACTTAAATGATGATCATATGAGTGGTTTCTAATGGTTTGATTTACTTAAACTGTTACCTGCCATTCTTTGTAGCTGTATCACACATGTGATTTAGGTATTTCAGAGTAAATTCCCACAGTGGTGTAAATGGACAGAAGCATCTTATTTATTATTTATTATGTATGTATGTTTTTGTACATGTTTGAATGTTTGTGTATGTGCATGGATGCTTGTGCATGTGGGGAGCCTTGGGTGTTGCTCTAATAATTTTTGTAGGTTATTATTTTCTATTTTCAATGTTGATTTTTAAAAATAATCCAACTAGAACTGTATTAAACTACAAAATCAATCAGGAATAAATTATTGACTCTTTTGGGGTTTTGTGGGGTTTTTAGATAGGAATTTGTTAGCCTGCCCAGGCTTGTTTCATATTCATAACCTCAAGCCATCTTCCTGCTCCAGCTTCTCAGGTAGCTGGGAATACAGACATGTGCCTCCATGTCTGTTTGATTTGCCACTAAGTCAGTTTCCAGGATACCAGTGTGAGCTTGTGGTGTAGCTGCACATGGGAGACCACTGCCCACCCAGGTCCTGAGCCAGCCACTTCTACAGCCACTGCCCAGTCAACATTTAATAAATATTTATTCATCAAGAAGGGCAAAGTACATACCAGAAATAACTTTAGGGACATAAACATACAAGATCTAACTCAACCACTGAAAAATTACCTTCCTAAAACTGTAGTAAAACACACAGAACACAGAATTCACCACGGTGACCATTTCCAAGTGTATGTGTATTTTCTAAGCTTCTAAGAGACTATCTCTTCATGAAACGATGAGCGACCTGGGATTATTAAATGTTTTCCCTTCTCACATGCTCCCTCTACTCATGCCACCCTTGCTCTCTGGAGCACTGTGCCAAGCCTTGTGGCTTGACACAGCATCATGAGTCACAGACTTTTTTATTTCTACACTTGCTTCAAACAGCCTTCCCTGGGCTCCCAGGCCATCCATTGCACTGTGCAAAAAAACTCACAAACTGGGAAACTGGGCATTCCTCAATAAATAATAAATTCCAACAAGCCCAGATCGATCTCTCTCTCTCTCTCTCTCTCTCTCTCTCTCTCTCTCTCTCTCTCTCTCTCTCTCTCCTCCCCCTCCCTCCCTCCCATGTTCTATATCAGCAGAGTGACCTCAGTGACCTCCATTAGTTCCTCAGTCCCTGGAGAACAATGGCTACCTATCTTTCACCATCTTTGACAGGGTTTAGGAAAGTAAGCAACCTACAGTCTGTGCTCACTCAATGAGGTTCAACAAATAAAGATTCAAACCTATTAAGGTGTCAGCAATGAAAAAGAAGAAATAAAACGAACTAAAAGTTTTCTTTCCTTAGCCAAAGATAGTGAATTACCCAGAATCCAAGCACTTGGGAGCTAAAGGCAGGAGGATCAGGGCTTGAAGTCCATCCTCCCCTATACAGGGAGTTTAGTTCAAGGCCAGCTTGAGATACATGAAATCCTCTCTCAAAAAGTTTCTTTCCATTCCTTGATAAGTTAGCTTAAAAATACAAGACTATTCCAGCTACTTAATGACCCTTGAGGAGTCTCATGTTTGGCTTTCCTTCTCTAGGTAACTCATTTAAAAACAGTGTTTCAGCTACCAGGAAAACAAAATTATGCCATTTAAGAGCTATAAATAATTCTTCTTAATTTTCTCTCATAACATGTAGGTGGCAAGTGTGTCTCAGGATGTACTTGATATTATTATTGCCATCTCTAGAACTCCCTATTGTGTTCACCACCCATACTTTCAAACCATGGGTAGGCAGCTTTTGCCCAGTCCAGGCATATTTTTTCTGCCATGTTGTTACCTATTGCTGACTCCCTAGGACTCACTCAGGGTGGACAGCCTAGACCTCTGGTTCCACTTAAGCCTGCACATGGCAAAGGCTTCTTGGGAACCTGATACATATGTCAAGTGCTCTGTGAGCTCTTTCAAGAACACAGCAGTGAGTAAGGTATCAGGTGCCTGCTGTGATAGGGTTAGGAGCTACCAAAGGCGATCAGAAACAGTAGAAACACACATGTGCTGAGATACACAGGGTGTGCACAGGGAGACAGAGTGCACTAGGGAACTGAACGAAGGATTAAACAGCTACAACACTGTGAACTCACAGGAGAGAGGTTCTCAGAGACCACAATCCCTACAAGAGAAACATTTAAAGGCAGACACACACACACACACACACACACACACACACACACACACACACAGAGTTACTATGGTAGTCTCTCAGAGTAATGGAAGAGGGAAGGGGGGCAGTCAATACGTCTTCTGACTTGGCTGTGGGACGAAGCATGTCTGTGTCCATATGTTGTCAGGCATCATGAGTTGGTGGAACAAAGGCAGAACTGGGACATTCATTATAGGTTCTACCCATCAAAAGCTTAGAGGACAATTTTTGTGTCCTTGAAGCTGAGGGATATAACTACTAAGTTGCTGTTCTACGTGGAATATTGCCTTCATGCCATCAATATTCATTTCCAATGCCTACTGGCTACCAAAGAATAGTAATTAATCTAGAAATGTGTATTATTAATAAACATAAAAATTATATTTTTGTTTGTCTGTGGTGTTTAGGATTAAATCTAGGGTCTTGTGTGTACTAGGCAGGCACGCTTAACACTGAGCTACTGTCACAGCCCAGTAACTCATCTTCAGCAGAGTACTATAATAAATGCTTTCACAGATTGTTATTCCTAATGCCTACAATATAGTTCTCAGGTAGTAGACATTATCCCCATTTTACATAAGTTGAAACTAAATTCCTAAAGAACTGAATAATGTATGTGCCAAGGAGCCCCAGTAATGCTAAGAAAAACCCTACAGAAAACATAAAACAATAAGGGTGGGGATGTAACTTAGTTGGTAGAGTGCTTACTTACATGCACAAAGCCCTGAGTTAGATTCCCACATCACCTGTAATCCCAGAACCCAGGAGGTAGGGGCAAGAGGATCAGAAGTTCAGTGTTGTCTTTGGCTACACTATGAGTTCAAGGTCAGGCTGGGATACATGAAACTGTCTCAAAAACACAACAAAAAATCACCATATGTTATAAAGTGTATGTGCTTACCTGTAGCACACATGCAAATCTCTGCCGCAAATATGTATGTTTATATATGTACATCATAAACCTACAGTATATACCTCTGTCATCTATCTATCCATATAGACATCATAATCCTGAAGCACACTTCTGACACACACACATATATATATATGAATACATCCACACACTTCTATCTATCCATCCACATATCATAACCTGTAGTATATACACTTGTATTATTGTATCATACATATGTATTTACATACACACTTGCATTATATATGCACACACACACACACCTCTATCACATACACACACACGTGCACACAAACCTTTATCACACACACGTGCACACACACACACCTCTATCACATACATACATAAACACACACACATCATAAACATCATCTCTTGGAACAGCAGGAAATATTTTTTTCATCATCAACAACTTGGGGGAAGATTAAAACAGTATCATCTTGTTTCCTGGCAATGGCAAACATCAGAGGCAATTAAGCAAGTTCCCCCAATATTTTCTGAAACATGTCACACACACTGTCTCCCAATGGCTTATGTACCTGGTTTTTCAAAGGCCCGAGGAAGCCCAGATTTTCTGCCATCCGCTGGGCCTGGCTGTCCTTTATGCCTTCAAAAATGTCAATCTGCTCCTAGTAAAAATATATCAAATGAACAAAACTCAGACAGTCAAATGAGAAGATTTATAACCTCAAAAAGAATGCTTAGTATTTACTGGCAAATGAGTAATTAAAGTGTGGCACCTTCCACAGAGCTCTGGGCAGGACTACTGTGGCTGCCTATAGGGTATGTTTTAATTAGCAGACCATCTATGAAACAGCCCTTCCAAAACTATATAATTCTTCAAGGTGGCATGCTGACAAGATGATCTCATGCCAGTTTTCACTTTTAATTACTATACAGATGGCATTGATGAATATTTAGTCAGTTAATTTTTATGACATCTTTTGGAAGGTATCCAAAGCAAGGTTTTGCTGCCTAATATTACTATTTAGAGTTGTCATACACAGGTTAAATATTATCTTATGACTTAAGCACTTTATTGATATGAAATTATTAACAATACCTTCATTCTACAAAGTGCTGTTCTCTCAAAAACAATGAACTCTACTCACAGGCATGATTTCACATATTATTTTAGCAAATGGGATTGTCTTAGATTATATAAATTTTAAAAATGGCTAGGCCTTATGGTTAAGTCAGTGTATAAAACTTTAATTAAACTTCCAAAGCCATTAATTTATCTATGTAATATTGATGAGACTTTTAAAAAACAATCATCAAAGTATGGGTAACATTTTCTAGAAAAAGAGATTCTGAAAATATGATTCTCCCCTACTCAAAGGGAAACAAAATCAATTTCTAAAGGAAATAGTGTTTCTTTTAGAAATTTTTACTGTGAATTGGACATTAAGAATACATATTAAAAACTGAAATTATAGTGCCAAAGGCTTGACTTTTTCCTCTTGTAGCTGAGATTGGTGAAGAAGAGTGTCTTATATATCACTTCACTCAGTCCTCACATTCTACAGGGCAGAAACCTTTACATTTCTATACTGATTTAAAAAAAATGAGGCTTAAGGACAGTGAAGAACTTACTTCCTAGTCAGGGTTGACTGTTGATCTCTTTGAAACTAATCTCAATATCAGTAAAAGAATATGTATTTCAAAGACTGAAACAAAGTGACAGAACCTGAATCTTAGAACCACTGTTTTCTCAAGATAGTCTGTGATGGTTAATATTGACGGCAACTTGATGGGATCTAGAATTGTGGCAGAGATCAGACGCAGAGTGTTTGTGAGGGAGTTTCTAGACTAAATTATTTGGGGTAGGAAGGCCTACCCTGAACATGGGAAGCACCATTCCATGAGCTGGGGTCCTGGATGGACTAAAGAAAGAGCTGAGCACCAGCATTCATCACTCTGCTTTCCGATTATGGATGCAGTGTGACCAGCTGCCTGCCACTCCTGCTGCTGTGCCCTCCCTGCCATGATGGACTGCACCCTCAACTGTGAGCCAAGATAAACCCTTCCTTCCTTGTTTTTGTCAAGTATTTTGTCATAGCAAGAAAAGTAACTGATATATCCTGTCTAGCTCACATCTAGTCACCGAAGAGAAAATGTCTGAACCATATATAATGTTAAACGAGGAACATCAAGCCAGAAGAAGGATGTGCACAAGAGTGCGCTCCCATTGGTTAATTTGTGTATTAGGATGGAGGGAAAGAAATGATTAAGGAAGAAAAGGCAAGGGAGAAAAGAAGAAAAAGCCTTTGAACAGTAGTTTGCTTCTACCTGACCACCAACCAGTTACTCATTTATAAAAGAACTCATTATCTTCACATCTTAAACCCCAGCAACAGACCCAGTATTTCTAGAACCAAGTTCCATGTTGAATGTTCAGCAGCGTCTATCCTAACAATCAGTTCACATGGTCAAGTAATAAGGTGTACCTTAAAGATGAGTTCTGGGTTGGAAGCCGCAACCTCTTCGATGTCAACGCCCCCCTGGGGACTGCCCACTAGCACAGGACCATTGTGGGACCGGTCCATCAGAATGGCAAAGTAGGTTTCTCTGGAAATATCCAGGGCTTCAGCAACCATCACCTAGCACATCAGTGGGAAAGTGAAATTAATTCAGCATCAAGTGGATTTCCAATTAGAAATGTATACACACCCTCCACACAAATCAAACGACTTCATTTCCAGGCTCTTGAAGCCCCATGGCTTAGTATCCAGAGGTCTGGAGCCTTCTGTTCAAGGTACATAAGGCCCATTTTCACCTCCATAATTGATCCTGTTAACTTGCTCAAGTGACAGGTATCTGGTTTGCCTGAAGGAGCCTTCCTCCTTTCATCTTCTTTCTTTCTTCCTGGGAAATCTCTTTCATTTGAGAGAAACCCCAGGGAAGCAGCTGTTATTTTAATCTGACACATTAACAGTACATATATATTACTACACTGACTGTTCTCAGATTTCATTGGTAGAAAATCAAGTTTGATTATCAAAGTAGGGTTCTTTTGCAGTATTTCTGATGTTGCATCTATTTATATGTTTCTGAGTCTTGAATAGCTGTGTTTTATTTCATTTTGTATTTTTTTATTTGTAAATGTAATAGTTGATCATTTAAAATAAGGCAGTCACTGAGCCTTATGGTGCAGGCCTGAAATCCCAACTACTGTGACAGGAGAAGTGCAAGATAATACCTGCTTGGGCTAAACAGTGAGTTCAAAGCTAGGCTGGACAACTTACCACAGTCAAAACCATGACTGAAAATAAAAGGTAAAAAGAAAACATCTCAGTGCTCAGTGGCAGAGCACTTGTCTACTATTCTGGGTTCAATCCCCAGGTTTTTTTTGTTTGTTTGTTTTTGTTTTTTTAAAAACAAAGCTGGGAAGTTTCTCATATGAACTCACAGCAATGGTGACAACATGCACAAGACCCATGTAAGCTCAAGCCAGACAAAATCCCAGCACTGACGTAGGAAAGTGAGTAAGAAGCCACAACCTTAGCTGAGGAACTATTGGCAACCAATAACTTCAGGGAGAGGAAGAGTTGAGTTTCTATAAGGATATGACACTAGATAGGTTAACCAGGCTCCAGTGGATGGACACACACCAAAGGACACAAAGTTGCTTCCATAGGCCTTAACATATATGACAGACTGCATGAAATCCAATGGTGGGGAAGGGTGCTATAAGACGGGTGGAGGAAATCTAACAATGATCAAAATATATTGTACAAAACTGACAAAAATTCAATAGAAATTATTTTAAAAATAAAAAATAACAGTAATGATACAAAGGTACATAAATTGGAATTGAATGCAGTTCTCTGCTGCACAGCCCATCAGATTCACACACATTGGCCTCAACTGTCAAGGCCCTGCACACTGTTAAACCTTTGTGATAGTTAGGACCAGGTACTCTCTCCTTTGGGGGATGTGACATCACTAGTCGGGGCCATTACTGAACTGGAGGCAAGCGGCATGGAAGGATTTCACTCCCTGCTCACTGCTTCACCTGGGTGCCCTTTTGCTCTGAACAATTTCAACAGAAACATGCAGCAAGAAAATGATTACGAGCTCCTTAGTTCCGCCTATGGGTATCTGCAAGTACTGCGGGATGGAGTCACTGTACACATGGGAGGTATTACACGTTAGATGCCTTCTGTCTGAAATCTTTCATGTTTTTGATATCTGGTTTAGAATTTGCTGCATAACAATGTACCCTCCTGCCTCAACTTTCCAAGTGCTGAGATACAGGCATGTGTCAACATGCCCACCGTATGCAGTGACCAGAGCTTCATGTACCCTAGACACGCACTCTATCAACTGAACTATGTTCCCCACAACTGTTTTAAAAATCTTATCCTTACAGCATCTTTTTAAAGTCTTCTCTTTCCACTGTGACTATACAACAGTCATATGTTAGTATTTATTTAACAATGTACCTACATGTGGCTATTTATGTGAGCTTCAATTTTCCTGAAATGCTCCTACAGTCATTGTGTGTGTGTGTGTGTGTGTGTGTGTGTGTGTGTGTATACTCTGAATATTTAAGACTTTGATTAGTACCATCAAACTGCCCTTGAGAGAGGCTGTCTCAACTTACAAATCAAACAAGTATGGTGAAAAATGTCTTAGCTTATTTTTTAAAGAGCATAAATACATTTTCATAAATAATCAATAGATTTGAAAATAATTTTTTAAAAACAATTATGTCGCCTTATCTAAAAATCACTTAATAATAGTTTCATTTAAAAAGTTATGGATTAATGGCACTAGATTTTAGCTAATCAGATGCCCCTTAAATATCATTTTACTAATAAAAACTTTAAAAGTTCTAATATTAAAAATAAAGAATTTCTTTTTAAGTTTTTATTATATTTACCACCAATTAAAAATAAAATATCGGTGCAGGTGATTCAGCTCAGCAGTATAGCATGTACTTAGCACACACGAGGCCCTTCGGTTCAAATCCCAAGACCCAGCACCTTTGCCTAATTACCACAAAGGAACCATCTCAGCAGATGGTGTTAGGTGTTAGGATTATCACAGAACTAGCCTGATTTCAAGTGGCTTGTTCTTTTTAAAAAGGCATGCCAGTCACAGAAAGTCAAGCTATCTGTCAATACTCAATTCTCTAGGGCTTCAGGTTGCTTGAAATAGTCAACTCTTGGAATCACTAAAACCAAAATGCTTAGCTCTATTCTTTCCTTTCCAATGCAAAGACAATGTGCATCTTACAGAAGTCACATGAGATTCACCTCTAGAAGTATCAACGCACTTTAAGAAATTAAAGCAATCATTTCCTCTAAAGACTTCTCTAGAAGGACAGAAATGTTTTAAATTTGGTAGGAACAAAATACAAATTGGTGCATGTGGGATTTCTTGTAGTTTTAGATGCATTAACGTAACTGCTCACTTCTTTATGTATGAGTGTGTGAGTGTGTGAGTGTGTGTGTGTGTGTGTGCATGTGTGGTGTATGTATGCTCTCCACCTTGCTCCCTTGAGACAGAGTCTCTAGCTGAACCTGGAGCAAGGCTGGTAGCCAGCAAGCTCCAGCAATCCTCCCATCTCCACTCCCCACAATTGCAAGGTGACAAGTAAGCATGTGACCATGCCCAGCTTTATGGCTGCATAGTAAGCACACTTTCTCGCTGACCCATTTCTCCATCCCTCCCTTCTAATACAGACTTGGTTTAACAGAGCATTAGTCAATACAGTTAGACTGGTACAATACTTAATGACCATCAGTATTCTTAGAAACAACTCAACATTCTAACTCCTCAGGATAAGTGTCATTCAAGAGCCCTATTCTGTCTTCTGAAACATTGACAGATATGCTCTGAGGTCCATCACACTCCAGTTTGTAAAGACCAGCTGCTGTCTTCAATAGCTCTTACTTGGTAGAAATGATGTCTCACTTAAAAAAATATCCCCAGGAAAATGATGTTTACCAAAGATAATTCAAGAAATTTCATACAAAGACTCAGCTTTTTCATATATTGTGAAGCCAACTTTATGACTCAGGATGCTGGAGTATTTTAGGGATTGTTATAGAGAGATTTGATGGACTCCACCATACTCATCCTAGGGGGAAACTCACAGAGACACATTTCAAAAGAGCTTCATCTGAGTTACACAAAGATTATCAACACAGTCTTTTTGTGGGATCCCCAATGATATGTGCTTTTTAACATTTCTTTCTTTAAGATAGAATACTATTTTACCACCAAAGCTCTTCTCCGATCCTACTACTTACACTTTAGTCTGAGATGAATACCAATGTGTAAATAGATCTGCAAAGAGTTAAGATTACAAGGAAACCACCCTTTTTATATATCCTGCAGAGCAGTAGCCAATACTGATGACAGTGAACCTGGGCCCCACGAGAAGCCCTGACTCATACCCTCATTCCTGTCCCAAGCAACATGTAACACAATGGTACAGAGTCAAATAACAAATGCCTGGTGTATACAAACATACATATGCATGTGTACATGCGCATATGTGTGTGCAGGTATATAAATATGTATGTGTATTTGTCTCTGCGTATGTGTGTGTACATTTAAACAACACCTCAAATAAACATAGAAATGGAAAATTTCTAGAATCCTGGACCTTCAGCTTTTGAGAACATGGAGTTGACATCTTTCGCTCATTCCTCTCCTATGTACAAATAAAACCTTGGATGTTCCATACACAGAAAACTGAAGAAAGATCTAGAAATTACAAAGGCAGACTCATTAGGGAACTTGAGATCTAGGAAAGCAATGGTGGAGAATCTCCTCTGCTTTCTTTTCACTTCATAAGTCAGACTGGATGGTGGAGGAGCTGGCAACCCAGAAATGTCAACAGGCTCAAGTAAGGAGGTCTCTAGGCCCACAGGGTTTCTCTAGGAATCCGTCGAACACTTAGCAAGACATATGCACCAACAGCGATAAACGTGTTGGACACTGAAATTAGGAATTCAGTTCCACTAATAATTGCTACTGAAAAAAAATCGAAATATTAGGCACACTCTAATAAAAGTTCCAAATCAATATGCTGAACAGTACATAAGGCTGAGAGTAGAACTCAAGGAAAAGCTAAGAGGAGAGTCATCCTGTTCTAATGGACTGGGAGACTTAACACAGAAAATACATAGTGTCATCAAACTAGTACAAAGGTTTAAAACAATTTCCTTTAAAAATTCAGCAAGAGGATTTTTCCCTATAAATTAAAACAAGAAAGATTATTTAAGATATAAATAATGAAAGGCTTAGGAACCGGAATGGGATAAACTGTACTGAAAAAGAAGAAAAAATATGAGAAAAATCAGTCTCCACAATTTAAAACCTTACCATACAGCTACAGCAACCAAGCAGTGGCAGTCGGAGAAAAGACAAATAAGGACCCCCCCCCACACACACAGAGGAGTTTTTTATAAAGGCACAAAAGCAGTTTGGTGAAGGAAAATACATCTTTTGGAAAGGGGTAGAGGGGCCAGTGAGATAGCTCAGCAGGTAAAGGTGCTTGCCTCAAAGTTTTGACAACCTCAGTCTGATCCCTGGGATCCACATGGTAGATGGAGAGAACTGACTCCTTAAAATATTCCTCTAA